AGATAACCTTGCTCCAGAGTTCATACCTTTAAACCATTAAATTGCTTTGCTCCCAGTAATAATGATGTCCACACTTTGAGGTCAGCCACAGGTAGAGTATGGACCCAAACCACAGAAAATGCAGAAGAAATTTATGAGTAGCTGATGGGTGCAAGAGCAGCCAGGCCTGAGGCCAGAGCCAGTCCTACTGGGTATTGTCAGGAAGGGTGAAATTTTCCCTCTGCCCCTCTTGAGTTCTTATGGATAGATTAATAATAAAATTGACACAAGACCAGATTAAGAGGAGAAAAGCCAATTTAATATGTGTGCACGGGAAATCATAAATGGTGCTGACAGAAATGATTGAAGTGGGCACCTTTTTATATTTTTTAGACTAAGATAATAAACGTCTGAGGAATTGACAGGACAAAAAAATATGTTAGTGTTCATTAGTCAGAAATCTAAGCAAGGTTCGAGCTTGGGTAGTAAATTAATAAAGAGGCAACAAGGTTTGTATATGTGAGCTTTTTGTTCTGGATTCCTTAACTCTAGTGATAAGGGTGTCTTTCTTAGCCTTCACATGCAGGGTGGGTACTATTCACATGGGAGATTAATCTCCTGCTTTAAGAGGGGGAGTGCAGAGTGTTCTTGCATTGGAAATTTCTTAAGTGACTTTAATTCAAAGTAATCAATATGTCATTATGGGATATTTTGGGTTGGCCCACTCTGAACCCCAACAGTATCCATCTGGAGAATTGCTTGTGTCAGGGAAATGGAAATTTTAAAAACGGAGGGAATTGGAAAGCTCAGGGTTTAGGAGGGAAACTGAAGGTCAGTGTTTGATGCAAGTCAAGTCATGGCCCCTGCAATTAGAAACTGAAGCAAGCGCATCTGGGAAAAATATTCAGAGACTCATATATGGAACTCAGTCATGTATGAACAATAGTGGGACAAAGTAGTGAATGTATCAACTGTGCTTTGGTTCTTTGTAAAGCAAGGGTCTAATTCTCAAGCTTGTCAGGCCAGGGACTGGAGTGAGGAATAAGGGGCAGGACAATCAAAGACTAATATAGTCCAATGGCCCTTGACTCTTCATTTTTTGTCTCTCTTTCATTGTATCTAGTTCTCTGTATAGTATGTGAAATATGTCTATATTGAATGCCTGACATAATCCTAACTGTCTAAATGCCTTTCCTGTCTGCAGAAATAAACAACTTTGAATATTCTCAAGCAAGGTTTTCTATGGTCCAATTCTCTGTAAAATTTCAGCCAGTTTTTGTGGAACTAAGCTTTTTTAATTTTTTTTCTAGATAAAAGGCTGGTCCAGAATCTAGCCCAGCTCAGGTCTAGCTGAATTACTTATTGAGGTATCCTCTTGGCATTTAGGAAGACTCATTTCATACATGTGAATAAAATCTCCAAGAATCCATATCACCCACTGGAAAGCTCTAATGTCACATTTATTAGATCAACAATATTGAAGAAAAAGTAACAGTGGAGGAAAAAATGCTTAGGTAACTTTGGCAAAGGTGTGCCCTGGCAAGTTCACCTGTCAGAACTGATAATTTGTGGCTTGAAAAAAATCTGTGTTCTTCAAATGCTTTAACATACATCTCTAGGGAGGTTTTAAATAGAAAGACTTTGAAGGCCTGTATGATAAGTTAAGGGATTTATGAATCAATGGTAGTAAAATATGATTAATAGTGACAGCTTCCAGTTCCTTCTCTCAGCTTTAGTCTTGTGAGTAATATAGCAACTCATCTGATCATTTACCTAATTGCTAGCAAGACAGCAATTTGACTCTTTCAGGGACACTGTGATCAAAACCCCAAACTATTAGCTTACATGCTCTGTGTGTGCCCGAACCTTTTGAAACTTGCAGAGCTGGTGAACTTGCAGTTATGCCATATGTTAACCAACATCATCTCTTTTTTCCACAAATAGTTGGGATAGATCATTCTGATACTGTTGCAATAAACCTGGTTATGAATAAGAGGAAAGGAGCAAAGGGAAGACCAAATTTTATAGACATGACATCTGTGCAGCTTTGCCAGGAAGCTGCAGTTTAGACGCATGCCCAGAAAAGTCTGGGTGAAATAGGGAAGGTACTTATCTGTCAGTCACACCTTGGATCACGTCATTGGCCAGAGTAGGCTTGGCCAATGCAAGTGGGAAGATTTCAGATACTTAAGCTCCTAAACAAAGGAGTTCTCTCTCTTGCTCTTTTGGGACCCTTGTAACTTTTGTTGCAAGGGGTGTGCCTTCCTGGCTCCCCTAAATTCTTCCATATGGCCCATAGCCATGTGGATCCCACATACAATGGACTGATGGACTGTAACTAGCCTGATGCTAAACCAGACCCAGACCTACCATGGAACGGACACTCTGGACACTGGCCATGCTTCTACCTCTGCTTAATCCTCAGCTGCACATCTTCCAGGACTGGATTAAGGAAAATGGGACTTTGCCATCCGAGGGATGTAACTCTATAAAAATAAAGCTTTCTACCACATCCCATCCTCCCATGGGGGCCTCCGGAAATGCTTATCCCAGTGGTACACCATGAACTCCATTCCCACCAGCAATAGTGGAAGACCATCCATGCATTTCTCTGATAATTCCACACAAGTATAAATCTCTCAAGGGCAGGACATTGGATATGTTGTTGCCTTTGTGAATTGATGACTCAGTTGTTGTAGTTCCCTTAGAATGAAGGCACAGTGAGGGCCAGTGTGGCTCAGTGCCCAGTTGTGGGCTTGATCCCCAGTAGGGGGTGTGCAGGAGTCAGCTCATTGATGATTCTCTCTCATCACTCATGTTTCTATCTCTTTTCTCTCTCTCTCCCTTTCTCTCTGAAATCAATACAATATTTTTTTTTTTTTTTTAAAAAGAAGGCTATCACTACCTTTAAGAGGGACTTTTAGAATATGTGACCTTGGAAGATTCTTTTGGTTTCTTAATGCTTTTATCTTACTAAGAATAAAATGCTGTTGGTATATTTCTATTTATACCAACCATTGTAGAAGCTATAAACCATTGTGGAAGATAAAACTATTGAAAGGTGCTCTAACATTGGCCACAATTTTCCTCTTTATGTTTAGATAGTCAGACATTATTGTGTAAGTTTTTTTCAGTTTCCTTGATTCTTCAACCATTTATTTTTGTGGTACTGGAAGTTTTTCTAGCTATGGGCAACTTGACCTTAGGTCACACATGTTAAAAATAGCCTTGGGTGTTTAACCCTTCTTGGCTGTGTGCCTGTTTATAAGAACAGAACTTTAATAGTTGTATCCTCCTTAGATACATTTCATTTTTCTTCCTCTCTCCTTAATTATAACACTTAACTATCACTCCTGCCTTGTCCCAAAATGAAATATATGTAGTCTACGTAAACAGATTTTTATTTGTGCCCTACATATTCTCTCTACTACTTCCCTTATTGGGGAATAATTTAGACTCTTTGATTAAAGCATATTGAAGAGAATGGCCAGGATGGTGAAAGTATTTTATGCACACAAAGGAAGAGTGAATAAGACTATAGAAGTTTAATCTAGGGAAGTAAAGATTCAGTATGATCATGATGACTGTCATCAAACTTTTTAAAGGGCTGTTTTGGGAAAGATAGATTAAAAGTCTAGAACTGCGGTCAAGGGACAGACAGTGAAATAGGGATGCTTATCTAATAGTAAGGTTTTCCAAAGATAGAATTGACTTACTTGAGAAGGAATATGATCCAGAATAAGCTATTAGATAACTTGGGAAGATGTTGTGGAGTAGTTCAATTAGATAACATTTAAGTTGTTTCCAACCCTGACAAGCAATTTCTATTCTTTTACATATATAATATATTTCTACTCTAAATTCCTCCATTGACTAAATACATATGTTGGATAGAGAAAGAAATAATCATATTGCTAAATGCTATTTACCTTTCCCTTACTCACATTCTCCCAAAGTAGAGTATTTTAATACTGTGGTCACCTTGACAACAGAGGTGTTTGTTTTAATAGTTTTAAGTAACATTATTCAAAGGGATTCTATTGCCCAATAAACTGGGGGATATAGTCTTTAATGCTCTTTTTCTTCTTAAACCTCAAAGGGTCTAGGATTAAACATATACTTTGAATTTAAAATCTTTGTAAATTTGCTGAGTAAGAGAACATCAAGTGTAATTGTTGCAAAAATTAGAGAGTTTTCACAGCATAATATGGAAAACTATTTCTCTCTTGTATATGAAAAATTTCACCAATTAAAAGGCATGGATCAAATTTTATAATTATTACTAATTTCAAACAATTCAATATATATTTATATATATTTTAACCTTGTGCATAAGGCATTAGGGCTGTTGTGGGATCAGATTTAGTGAGGCAGATGTTGCAATCATCCACAACCTATCTTACTTGATCATTGTTAATAAATTATAGTTGAATAATAATTCATGAATGCACAATGAATGAATCATTATTAATCATGGGATGATATTGCACATGTAAAAGTCATCCAAAGCAGAAAAATATCAATAAGTAATACAATAGGGAATCCATAGGACATCTTTTTACACTAAAGGAATAATCCTCTAATAGGGAACACAATCTTGGATTTAAAACTACTTCAGTTATTTGTCATTGACTTGCTTCTTTCTAACACTAATAAGTTATATTTAACTAAATACTTCCTCTGTATATGTTTTATGCCTAACTCTTTAACTCTTGTCTTCTTTCATCCTTAAAACACACTGAAGAGTTGACACATATCAGGAAACTGAAACACAGGGAAGTTAGATACCATGCCCAAGGTTATACAGTTGGTAGTAAAGCAAAGCAATAAATCCAAATTTGACTCTAGAGTCTGAGCTAGTCACCCATCTAATGTGTTATCTGCCTTGATAAACCAAATGCTAATGTGATTATTTTATTTAGAATAAATTTATGTAGAAAAACATTTTTTTTCTGGTTCCCACTTATTTCCCTCTCATTATAGGTTCAGTTGACCACTCAAGCTTAGAAGGTGATACTCACCCCGTTTGTGAAGGAGAATGCTGGCATGCCGACGTCCATTTCCATTTTCAACATAACAAGAGTAATTTCCCAAGTCACCTTCTTGTACAGAATCCACAATTAATGAGATGGAAACTTCCTGTTCCCCAAGATGCTCCTTGAGAATTCTAAAATATAAAGCAAAACGAAACAAAAAACCCCACACAAACATACACATACACAACAAAAAAAATATAGATGAATCTAAATCTGATGTGAAAATACCTACAGCATCTTTACTTCAAATTTGGCTATGGATTTATGCTATCTTAATAAAATTATATCGTGCCCTTCTCATTTCTAATGAGTATGTTTGTCTTTGTAGATGCTAATGAAGTTGCAGTTCATTATCTCTCTTAACAGGACAATTGCACTGTCATAATAAAGAGGTGAGAGAGACCTTGAAGAAAAGTTTAGGAATTGCTTTCCCTTTAAGAAGAAATCCGATGTAAAGGTGAGATAGATGTTCTAATGTCTTAGGCTAGAGAACTAATTATATACAGGTTAATCAAAAAAAGGAAGAATAGAAAAATTTTGAGTTATTTTGACATTTCAGTTAAAACTTCCAACCTGCCGAAGCCGGTTTGGCTCAGTAGATAGAGCGTCGGCCAGCAGACTGAAGGGTCCCGGCTACAATTCCGGTCAGGGGCATGTACCTGGGTTGCGGGCACATCCCCAGTGGGAGATGTGCAGAAGGCAGCTGATCGATGTTTCTCTCCCATCGATGTTTCTAACCCTCTATCTCTCTCCCTTCCTCTGTGTAAAAAAATCAATAAAATATATTTAAAAAAAACAAAAATACTTCCAACCTGGCCTTTTTTAAAATGATACAAATCAATTGTCTGTTTTTAAAGAAATATGAAATTATAAACATGTAGACAAAGTATTCTGATGAAGTGCTTAATTGTGACATTTAAAATTAATGGTAAATGTTCACTAATCTCATCGTCAAAGATTTTAGCAATCTTTCTGAGCAAATGGAAAATTTCAGAGTTGAAGCTCCCTTTCCCTGCTCAGAAAGTTTCAACCTCCTCTACCTTCCCATCTGTCTGGTAACTCATCTCTGCGCAACACTTTCTAATGCAGAATTTAAGAATAATACCTTTCTAGAACATTCCCTGGCCACCCACAAAAAAGGAAAGGGGGAACATTAGGAGATTTGTTGTTCTTTAACGTTAGCATTTCAAAGTGTATGAGTAAATGATAAATGGCAGAGGAACACTTTAGTACATATTGGAGGATTGCCCATCTGGGCATTTCAGAACGCAGTTGGAGTGTAAGATTCTTGTGTAGTTGTTGCCAGGAAAAAAATCCTAGTAGAAATAACCTTATATGATGGTTTTATGTGTTTTTATATTTTATTGAAAAACTTTTTCCTTTATACCTTTGATCAAGTTTAAAAGTCCTTGTTATTAAAAGTGTCCTCTTCCAAGAAGAGGAATCTTTGATAAAATGCTCATGTACTCCCAGAAGTTGTGATCTTTAGATGGGAGAGTGTTTACAAATGATCAGCATTTGGATTTAGTCATAATTTAATTATTATTACTACCCTTGCTTCTGTTCATTATGATTAAAAATCAGTATCTATGGTCCTAACCTGTATGGCTCAGTTGGTTGGAGCTTTGTCCCATACACCAAGAGGTGTCAGGTTTGATTCCAGGTCTGGGTCACATATACAGGTTGCAAGTTTGATCTTGGGTCGAGGCGTGTGCCAGAGGCAACTGAGGTTTCTCTCTCACATTGATGTTTCTCTCCCTCTCTCTCCTCTTCTTTTCTCTAAGATCAACAAAAAATGAGTATCTATGCCAAAGCATAATTTTAGTCATAACTGAATACCTCAATACTTAAAGGTAAATGAACAAATAAATTGTTTTTTAAAAGAGGCTTAAGAATTATGTCCTCAAATAGATGGTATTTTGAGTGTTTATTCTCTTCTCTATCATTCCCACTATATTCATATTTAGACCTTAAAGTAAGACTAAAAATGTAATTAAAACATTTTATGTATCCTTTATCATTCCTACCAAGTGCTTTATAGTCTACTTGATGCCTCAAACATGAAAACATATAAAAGAAAATGACAGAAATTGTGTTTGGTTGAGTCCTTTTATCTTGTTAGTATTTCCTCTTAACAATTAAAAAAAAGAGTTCTTACAAACAAAAGGCACAATATCACGTTTTCTATATTCAACTGTATTTTGGTCTGTTTCACATTCAGTTCACTCCTCAATGAAAAACTTTTTATTTCTCTTAAATTCTTTACAAATGTCATTCATGTTTTACAATTCCATAGTCTCTTAACAGTGTTTTGCCTCTTTGCCAGTATATGTTATAATGTTGTCATTATAATAGTAAAACAAAACAAAACAAAACAAAACTTCTTTCCTTTTTAGCTTACTTTCTCGACACTAACAGAGTAAATGTTAATCTTGACTATAAGGCAAAAGAAAAAAATTATTTTACCTAATGTCACTTTCCCAAACTCGATTTTCATCCAGATCTTCAATAAACTTTTCTCCTTTCATCCAATAAATTAAAGGACTGACATCTCCACTGTACCCAAAGAAAGCTCTGCAGGTTAGATTAGCTGAGTCTCCTGTCAAGAGAAGTGATAGACATGTTATAAAACTATCTGTACACTCTTATTTTAGACAAGCTAGAAGATAACATTTTAATCACTTTATTGATTTAATGAAAAATATTTTTCAAATAGTATATTTTCAGGTATTTTCAACCTTTGTCAAATTTATACAATGTGTGCTTGTAACAGCTTTTTATTATTTATTTAAAAAATCATTTTAGAGAGGAAGGAAGAGGGAAAAAGAGACAAAAACATCAATGATGAGAGAGAATCATTGATCTGCTGCCTCCTGCACGCCCCTACGTGGAATGAGCCTGCAACCTGGGCAATGTGCCCTGTCCAGGAATCGAACCATGACCTCCTGGCTCATAGATTGATGCTCAATCCCTGAACCACAGCGACTGGGCTTAACAGCTTTTTAATGAGATGATAGTGACTCAAGAACTTGCAAATAAGACTTGTCAGTTATTTTATAGAGGGTTCTTCCATATAGGTTTGCTTGATATTTCCATATGATTAGATTAGGCTATAAATTATTAGGAAAGTACCACAGATGTCATGTCAGTCAGTCACTCTGTCATCTGCTCCCATAGCTCTCAGAACATACCTATATTTATCATAATACATTCCTTACAACATTTGGGCTATTTGCAGGTCTAATCCAGCAACCAGAGTGTTCATTCCCCAAAGGTAGAAATTAAATCTGTATTTACCTTTATATATTACCAGGGCACATTACCCTATCTTAAATAGAGTAGTAACTCATTAAATAATTTCAAGTCACTTAATAACATGCCTAATATCTTTCAAACTTGCATTTTCCACTGCTTACTTTTATAAAAGCTACATTAATTAAAGGGAACATGTCTGCACTTATCTCATAGGCCACGTCCATCTTATAAACTAGCCTTCAATATTGCAGATGCAGAGCCTCCTCATTCAGATTTTATTTCACTTGCAGGCTGGAGCCAGTTCATACCAGCTTGTGAGAGTCCATTATTACATTTTCAGAAAATTCGGTAAGCAGGTTGTTAAACACAGTAATTATTTGAAATTAAATTATAGAAGGTTACAATTAAAATACCATATTAAAAACAAAGGCTAATAGATACTCAAAACTCCCTAATTATTTTGCTACATTATTCATCTATAGTATCCATATGGCTGAAATATTGTATAATAGTGTACTACTGCACATCTCTCCCCAGCTGCACATTTAGTGAAATTATGTTGGTAGCTTGCAATCAACCACGGTGGGAATATTGACCCATGAATTGCTAAATGCTGCAAATCAAGATATGATTTATTGTTTTGATGATTGCCTGTAGAGAAAATGTTACTAATCTCTCTCACTTCCTCTCTCTCTAAAAAATTAAAAAATCAATAAAACGATATTTAAAAAAAATGCCCCTAACAAACTCAATAGAGACAGAATATGCAAAACAAAAAACAACAGAGAATGTAAATCTAAAGGTCATTAATTTTAAAATCATTAAAATCTGGCTTATGAAATTTTAAAATGAGATGCAGTATGCCCAATATGAAATTGTAGGAGGATCTATCTCAGCATATTGGGGCCCTATGGCAATAGACAATTGAAGTCTGATAAATTTGAGGTTTTTTTAAGTAGATGATTTGTAGCAAATTAATGTTCTTATATTTTAGCTATAGTGAATTTGGCTTTAAAATATTTTTTAAAATCATACTCTTTAGGAGACAATGATTTTTATTATGGTTTTGCCAGCCTCAAGAATAAAACCTTGTGGCTAGCAATGGTCTATGTTATCTAAAAATCTATATTATACATGATTTGCATAGCAGCAGAATATAATATAGTAGAGATATTATTTATACTAGCAATAAAAACAAAGTATGATCAGAAATGGTTGTGAATAAATGAACCACAAAATCATATTGAGTCAGGTCAAAGTTTTATGCTATATATATATACACACACACACACACACACACACATACACATACACAGAATGTTTTCAAAGTCTTGGATAAAAAACTAAATATTTTGTGGCCCATTCCCAAGTTATAGTTTAGATTTAATGTTGCTGCTAATAAAAATCCAATAAGTCAAAGAATTCAAGAAAATAAATCTATATTCACTTAGAAATTTAAGTAGATAGATATTGTCAATAACTTTCCTAAAGAAGTATAAGTATGTGGATGGTCCAAAAAGTATAATGTATTGATTTTTGTATGTTTTGTTTTTTAATAAAAATTGCATATATTTAAGGTGTAAAGCATTATCATTTTATACATATAATGCTACAGTCAAGCTAATTAATATATCATCTCTTCACATGGTTACTTTTTAATTTTTTGGTGTGTGATGAGAGCACCTGGGATCTACTCTTAGCAAATTTCCAGCATTTAATACAGTGTTATTAATTATAGTCATCATATTGTACATTAGATCTCTAGACTTGTTTATCGCACATAATTACAAATTTGTACCCTTTGATCAACATCTTCCTATTCCCCCAGTCTCCTAACCACTGTTCTACTCTGTCCTATGTATATGAACTATTTTTAGATTCCACATGTGAGATCATGCAGTTTTTTCTTTCTGTATCTGGCTTATTTTACTTAGCATAATATTTCCAAGATTCATCCATGTTGTTGCAAATGGTGAATAATTTGAAGGCTGAATAATATCACATTATATATACCAAAATGTCTTTGTCCATTCATCTGTCAATGAACATTTAGGTGTTTCCGTATCTTGGCTATCATGAATGGCTAATAGGTATATGAAAGGATGCTTAACATCACCAATCATCTGGGAAATACAAACCAAATACATAATGAGATCTCACCTTATACATATTAGGATGGCTATAATAAAAAAACACACATAACAAATGTTGGAAAGGATATGGAGAAAAGGTAACCCTTTTACACTGTTGGTGGTAATGTACATTGGTATAGGTAGACATTATGAAAAAACAATTTGACATTTCCTCAAAGAAACAAAATCAGAGCTACCATATGATCAAGTAATCCCTCTTCTGGTGTTGTCTCACAGGGAATAAAATCACTACTTTGAAGAGATATCTGTGTGCACATGTTCATTGCAAAATGTATTTAAAAGAAATGATAATAATAATATGGTGTTCATCCTGCAAGCAGAGATAAAGCTCTTTGGAAGCAATTGTAATGCATAAAAATAGGAGCAGATTAAGTTTAGGCAATGAATTATCAGAATTTGAATTATGATCTGGAAACAAAAGTTAATTTTATATGATACAACAAAATTGGAATTTATTAGAGTTAAATGTTATTATAAAACAGATATGCTATCTAGAAAAGGAAAAATAATTTCTTAGAATTTGAGCATTGATATAATAAGAAAATTCAAGATCAACAGATTTGAATAAATAATTAGTTAAACTGCAGTAGAATGGAAAATAATATGAAGAGGATGAAAACAACAGAATGATTAAGAATTTTTCTTTATTGTGTTTGTTATCTAATGTGTGTCTGAGTATATTTTCAGTTAAAAAAGAAATACGATAAAATAAAACTTAACCAAGTGCCTAGAAAGGTTATTAATGGATTAATGTCCCAGATACTCAATTTGAAAATAATCATAGCCAGATTTTGATAGAAATTACAGGGAAGGACATTAGTATTGCATCTCCTAATTCCACCATTAACCTGCTTTTTGCAAATTTCCAGCAACTTTCATACCAGATTTTATTTTATTTTAAATCTTAATTGTTGAAAGTATTACAGATGTCCCTCTTTTCCCCCTATTGACCCCTTCTAGCACCCCCACCCCACCCCAGGCCTTCACCACCCTATTGTCTCTATACATGGGTTATTTATATATGCATATAAGTTTTTTGGTTGATCTCTTACCACCCACCCACCCCCATCTTCCCTCTGAGATTCCACAGTCTCATTTAGTTTAGATGAATAGGGTTAAACATATTATTTTTTGTTGTAATAAGCCAGTGAGTCTCAAACTTATTGTCCAAAAACTTGCCTCTGCCCCCACCAAATTTTGACTCAACAAGTTTGGAAGGTTCCAAGGAATTCCATTCTTAAGATGCACTTCCAGGAGATTTTCATGCAAGTGGTTACAGTTAACTGTCTAGAGCAGCCGTGGGCAAACTACGGCCTGTTTAAAATGAATAAAACTAAAAAAAAAAAAAGACCATACCCTTTTATGTAATGATGTTTACTTTGAATTTATATTAGTTCACACAAACACTCCATCCATGCTTTTGTTCCGGCCCTCCGGCCCAGTTTAAGAACCCATTGTGGCCCTCGAGTCAAAAAGTTTGCCCACCCCTGCCTTAGACTCTGTTTAAAGTGGAATTGGGGCTCAGAAAAGCAACATGATGGAAAAACATCCAGGCTTGGCCATTACGCTGTGAGCAAGGACAGGGAGGCTGGGAAAGAGGAAAGTGTTCATAACAATGACAGTGGTGGGTAGAGAGGTAGCTGGTGTAGATGAGACACAGGAAGTACAATTGAGTTACTGATGAGCCCACCTAAGCTCCAGTAACATATTCTCTTTCAAAACAAATGTAGGAAAAATTTTGTATTTCAGTGGAAAAATTCTCATTTATCTATTGCACACCTTTTTGAGTTATCCAATTTTAGTCCTTTCACTGTTTAAGACAGTGATGGCGAACCTTTTGAGCTCGGCATGTCAGCATTTTAAAAAAATATATTTTATTGATTTTTTACAGAGAGGAAGGGAGAAGGATAGAGAGTTAGAAACATCGATGAGAGAGAAACATTGATCAGCTGCCTCCTGCACATCCCCAACTGGGGATGTTCCCGCAACCAAGGTACATGCCCTTCACCAGAATCGAACCTGGAACCTTTCAGTCCGCAGGCCGACGCCCTATCCACTGAGACAAACCAGTCAGGATATTGTCAGCATTTTGAAAAACCCTAACTTAACTCTGGTGCCGTGTCACATATAGAAATTTTTTGATATTTTCAACCATAGTAAAACAAAGACATATTTTTGATATTTATTTTAT